TCCGCTGCCTTTTTGTTTGTTTCTCCGTTTTCCACAACATGGGACAAGACGCCGCAGAATCTATGCCGATGGCCTTTCAACCAAGCCCGCCTGGCGCGAGCGCGTTACCTTTTCCCGCCCTTCTGGCGTCCAGACAGCGTTTCCGCTCTCTACTGGTGCAATTATCCAAGGGAAAATAAACGGGGCCCACGCCGCCCACGCAGCCCCACAGTTAAGATGGGAATTTTGCAATACAAATCCACACACGACAAGTCCTAGTACGCATGACAAGTCTCTAGTAGTGCTACCTGTCGCGTGGTGCAGGTTAGCAAGGACAGCCAGCACATCTTCAACAACAAGAGCCATCTGCATACGATCCTGTTTATTTATAGTATACAGCACCACACATGCCGCAACACGACTAGGAATGTCCCTCATGGGGATCATGCGCATTACAAATCTTGCTGTAGATGCGGATCTTCATAGCAACTCTGGGGTGTAGTAGCGCGCCTCGTTTTTCCTCAGGATACCAAAAATTGTCATCTCTTCATCCGCCACCCCTCCGTGTTCCTCGTAGGAGCAGTCGCGCACTTCATAGTTTTGGTTCTCCGAGGTAGTTCTAGTACTACTTGGGCGGGTGTGGATATTAAGCTCCGCCGTAGGTGGAGGTAGCGGCTGCGTTCTGTTCCTCCCCCACCATGGGGCCCCACAAATTTCCAATGCCTGCTCTTTTCCTCCAAGTTCAAACGCTTTTCGGATAATTTCGGGTGATGCGATTACCACCTGGGAAACCCATGACTGTGTCTGATACCAAGGCCAGCGGTTCACAGGCTCCAAAGGCGTGTGGCGCAGCTGGACAGCGACCTTACGAAGTTCTGCATAAGAAGTGCGGCCATGGTCGTTATGCGTGTTGAGGGCAAATTCGAACACAGCGGTCAGCTTCGGCCTGCGTTCCGCCACGTAATAGTCGCTGACGTTCTGCTATCAACTGTAAAAATGTCTGGGTCTGGAAGCATGTATGTTTGTCATGCTTGTCTGGCATGACTCTTAAATCTGTCATGCACGTTACCCAAGAGCTCCATTTTTCTGTGATGTAGAAACGCAGTTTGTCATGCACAATAGGCAACACCGAGAAGCTCAGAAACTTGTCATGCTGCGCCAGCACTTGTGGCCTCATCATGAGACGCCACCCAGCATCACAAGTTTCCAGACCCAGACATTTTTACATTTGGTATCTGCTCGCCTCCAGCGGCCTGTCGATACATATGAAAGCCTCAGGTTGGAAATCCTCAAAGTAAAAATAATTTGTAATGCAAAAAATCGACTCCAAATGGAGCACCATGCATAGTCGGCGCATGACAAATTTCCCGGGCACTCAAAACGGGTCTGTCTTGCTAGTTAGGCAAAGGGGTGCCCTTCTCTCATGCTAATCAGCAGCCCAATTCTGAACCCATAGAAGCACAATAGTCGGCCTCCATTGCGTTCTCTGCAATGGAGTCTTTCTGGTGTCGCATTTCATGCATCACAAATTATTTCCACTTTGAGGATTTCCATTCTGAGGGTGTCATAATACATCTCGGCCCGTTCCACAGCGTCGTCATCCTCTCTGGGATCCCAGTTGCGGTAGTAGGTGGCTTCTTTACGGCTTTCCAGACGAAGCGTCACCTGTCCTTCCTGCCGATCCACAGTGGGCTTCTTCAACTCTCCCAGTGCAAGCAACAAAGACGCCGTGCGTTCGACCTCGGCGATCGGCGGAAAGCCTTCGCGAGTTGTCTCCGCTGCGTCAGACCCGCGGCGCCCCTCCCGCGGCGGAACCGTCAGCAACACCTC